TGGAGACATTTTCGCTTGATAGCTTGATTGATGGTGCCTGCAGTTCTGTCATGCTCCAGGGGGGGACACCTGAAACTGATGGACTGGAGGTTGGGCAACAGATTTATGTTGTACATGTTAACAATCCTGCTGTAACAAGTGTTCAGAATTGAAGATTTTCAGGAAGCTGGCATCTGGAAATTTTGTTTCAAACTTCCATAACATGCAAACTTCGTGATATGTGAAGGAGACTACAATCATTTATTAATTATTGATTAAAACTATTAATAGTTTACAGTTTAGTGACAATTTAAGTACAAAGTGGCTGTGATTAACAAAGGAAGAGTTAGGAAAAGATGGGGTTAATTCTGTCACTGGCTGCAATATTGTTCTGCGATACTTAAGGCTTTTTTTACATTCTTCAGTGAGTTTCTCTGTTGCATTCAAAGTTCAGAAAGCCACTGTAACTTAAGTTCTTGGCTATACACTATTTGAAGACCCAGGTAATCTCAGTTAAGATGTGGATACAATTTATCACAAATTATCATTTGAAGTTATAAACAGTGAGAAGTTTTTTTCCTGTAAATATAAGAGAGACAAAGATGACAGCATCAAGGAACTGGCCAGAGATGGTTTAAAACTGAATCGTTTCTTTTGTAATGTTATTTTGTCACCATAACTGCAATAGCTTTTGGAATGTGATCTGTAAAATATATTGAATGAAAAATCGAGCACATAGTATTGACAAGGTTATGTATAGTATTTATTAGGCTTTCCTCTAAAGAAAGATTTTATCAGATTTGAAGGATCATGTTACATGGTGCATTGTTACGAGAAAATAAATCGTACTGTAGAGTTGTTTCACCAAGCCAACAGTTAATTATCCTAGCTGTGTTGCATTTATACCCTGTAGTTTCAAGAGCTGGTGTTCTGAGATCTTCAGCTGTAAAGATACTATGCAAATTGTTTTACGAGCATTTCAGTATCAATGGATCCTGTAGCTTAATCGTCTGTGTGGTAGAGTCCGAAGTGAACTGTTTCTGGTTTCAGTGAAAGTCATTTCAACAACGTGAGTGGGATTGACAGTCGAAATCAGTTCTACGGTGCCATATTATTATTATTAACATCATTATATATGCGCACGCGATCATCATGTCTTATCGCATGGGGTATATAAGTTTATAAATTATTATTATTATTAATATTTTTTTTACGTTGTCCAGATCTGTGATTCCTACCGAAGATAAGTTTATCTTAGCAGCCAAATTGCAATACTATTGACTCTCTTGAAAGGGGATTAACCCTTTAATCCCTAAGAAAGACTGGAGACTAATTTCTCCTCACAATATCACCCCTGAATAGAACATTGATGTTATGAGAATAAGGGAACTGATCAACAACTATAGGAGCGCTTGATTTTTAACCAAATTCCCCTTTTTCAGAACCTTACGAAATGTACAGAGAAGGTATGGAGAATATGCATACTGATGTTGGGGTGTATAGGGTTAGAGCAGGTCCTCATCGTTAGCGCTTTGGCACGGGTGTTTCTTCCCCCGGGGGAAAGTACGAGGCCTTGATTAACGCGACCCTGCGATGGGCCTGGAAGGGGTCTGGTACTGATAGTGATATTAGTGCCAGATCCCCTTCAACAACTTTCAAACCTAATGAGCCTCGTGGTTTCACTCCAAAGTTACAATGACTGTCAACCAATGAGCGCGCAAGAACTTCAACAGTTATTGTTGAAGGAGTTCTGTTAAAGAATTGAGTCAGCGCATGTGAAAGGAGCGTGTTTGTGATAGTTTAAGGGCGGAAATGGTTGGTGAATTCAATATGGGTCACGTATACAATGATTAAACCGTGGGACATCCCTTCTGTGGACTCACTTGAGACTAGAAAAAGTGTCTTCTGAAGGTAAAGCAACCCTTTGACGACGCTCAGATTTCAAGGCTCCAAATTAATCGAAAAATTCTGTAGGACTTACCACGCGACATTCTTTTCCAGATCATGGTACCAGTCCTCCAGCAGCCATGTACGAAACATATTACGTAACAGCACACAAGGCTCCCTGCCGAACAGCGAGTTTTAGTCAAAATGGTATGATTAAGAGATATACTTTTTTCAGCGTTCATTGTGTTAGTGTTCATGCTCGTTTTTCGCTGTTTTTATTCCGTCTAGCGGCCGGTTATCTATGGTAGTCAATAGCAGGTAATTTAGTGTTAAAAACTGAGTTGAAAACGTAAATTAGCTACCGTAAAGAGTAACAAAGCTGACGTTTCGAGCGTTAGCCCTTCGTCAATCGCTCTGACGAAGGGCTAACGCTCGAAACGTCTCTCTCGCCCACCGACGCAGCACTACAGTTTCTTCAAAAACTTACCCCCTTTATTCATAACGGTAGTCAATGCTTTGATAATCTAGTACCCAGATCCTACCGAATAGACTTAACCGCTTGGCCGGGGAAGTTCTGGTTACAAAACTAATACTTTGATTATTTCAAATAGTTTTCCATTGAATTTAGGCGCTCTCACGAAAAAATGATATAATTACATGTTTCATGATTCTGTTTTAGGTCGATTGATAGCAACAGGCTCAGTAGATGCGTCCATCAAGGTATGTTCTTCAAACAATCAACTTAAGGTTAAGGGAACACATCGGTCAAACGTCTGGTATGTGCAAGGAGGTCGGCTTTGTCCAACCGCGCCTATTTCAAAGAGCAACCGCTGTCGCGTTAAATAGCGAACAAAGTTGAAACGCTCATAGAATTATAAAAATAGGGAAGAAAAGTTGGAAAACTTAAAGACTGCGCAACAAAGCTTATCTAGTTACGTATAACCTGGTACCGTAGATTTACCATTTTATTTTGAGCTTCATGAAAAAAAAAAGTTTATTTTAAAATTTTGTGACGAGAGAGATATGCACCGTGATTGAAGGTGGTATTGTTCCAGGCCCACAGTTAGTAGAGACGGCTTTTCGTGTGCCCGCATTTTCAGTCATTTCCTTTGAAGAGAGTGCTTAGCATGGCGCTAGAACCAGAAATTCTCAATGCGGAG